TAAAATGGCTATTACTTGTCCCCTTCAAAGGAACCCACCTAGGAAACTTGTGTGTGTGTGTCTTTGCCTTCCAGCTGTACTATAGTTTTCTTTCAAAGGTGCATCATGTTGGTGTATACAGAAATACTTTCTTTTACCAAAAAGAAAGAGGAGCTTTTGGCTAAAGTGACTAGGCTCCTTCTCCCAACAGTTTAACTAAGGAAGTGAAGAGATAAGTGAAAATAATGGAAGGAGAGTACGCCAGCCTAGAAGGATACCTGTGTGATTACATCCCAGTCAGAGGACAAATGGGTCAGTATTACCTGGGGGGGGGCAGTTATTATGATTGAAGATAATACAGTTTGGGGTAAGGAAGGATTTCAGCAGACAGGCTTTCCCATTTTCATTTCCTGGTTAGGGAGTTCCTTTAAAAAATGTTACACTTGCATTTTTCAGTTCAAAATGGAAATTGCATCATTGATTTTCAGCTATCACATTCCAGGGGGTGCAAAAAGATGGTTTTGGGGCCACTCTGATCTATAGACTGCACAGGAATGTTTTCTCCAGCCACATGGGATATAGTGGCATTTAAGGCCCTAAACATAGCACTTAGTGTTAAATGATGTGAGCTAACTAGAGTTGAAGATAAATAATATGCTTTTTAAAACAGAAATGTACCTTTAGCCTGGTATTGATTTTTGATTCCATCTATATACTTGATATGCAAGAGGCCAGATATTTTTGTATTAGTTTTGGCTTTTTCTGATTAAAATCAAAACCCCAAAGCAGTTTGCAAATACAAATACGTATGTCACAGCAAAAATAAAGCACTATATTCCCATTTTTAAAAAAATCAGCAGCATAAGTGTCTGTTAGGGTGGGGCAACAGAGGGTAAGGGAGAAAACGTGTCTTGCGGCACTGGGGCACAAATTCCGACCCTTAGTTAATTGCATGTATTGGAGCTACACAAGAATGAAGGGCTGAAATTTGTGTCATACATCATGATGCGTATTTCATCATGCTAGTGTCATCATGTTTAAGAAGAGGTGCTGATGATCAACAACAGAACAGCAGAGATATCAATATTGTTAATTAATAAAAAGCAGTCTAGAGATGCAGGGATTATAAAACTGGTGAGGGGATACTTGCTCCTGTGCTGTGGTCTTCTCTCTGATTGCCCCATTTGGGTTGGATGTCCATAGGAATGTTCATATGGAGTTATAAAAATACATTTTAAAAGAGCAAATGTACTTTTGATTTACACACCCCAAACTTGGAATTTGTCACTTTATGAAGAGTTACGGCTTTATCTAATATGGAGGAGAGCAAAAAAGGTCACTCTTCAGTGTTGCAGACAGACCTTCCCCAGGTTATCATCAATCTTTGATTACAGATAGATGTTTGCTTTCTGTTCATAAACTTGCTCTTTATCAATGCAGCAGATAGACTAATATTACTTGGTGCTTAAAAACTAGGGGAAACGTTTTATTGTATGCAAATTAGTGTTGTTTCATTTTGGTTTTTTGTGGGCTCTTTATTCCTTTTTAATATGAGAAAAATGAGAGAGAGACAGAAGGAAGAAAACAAGTTGGCTCAGCACACAGCAATAAACATTCATCTACAGTGGTGTTTTTCAAACTTGGCAACTTTAAGATGCTGGCTGGGGAATTCTGGGAATTGATGTCCACACATCTTAAAGTTGTTGAGGTTCAGATACACTGACCTACCCTACTGTTTATGTTATCAGAAGTGAAAACTGAGCATCAGGCTCAACTGTAGGTGTGGATAGGTGGCTATCAACAACAGAAAGAAAGGTGCTTCTACAGTTTGCGGTAGACAAGGAAAGGAGACACCGCACTGGGCAGCCCTTCTCTTTGGGCGCCGGGCGGCCTCCTCCCTTCCCGCGAGACTCCAAGCAGAGGCCGCAAAGGAATATGCACGGTCCCTCAGCGTTGAACGGACAGGCCTGCTCCGGGCTGACACTTTGCGATTACAGGTACGGATTCGCTTCATGGTTGCTTCAGGTCATTTTGGTGGTTCTAATAAAAACATCCCCCACGCGCTTCAGACCTTCTTAATGGACGCACAGAGTTTTTCTTTTTCAGTTCAGAGCTAGCTCCTGTTGAAACAGGTGCGGTCATTCCCAGGGAAGAGCTTCCAAGCGGGTAGAGACGCGGTCTAGCCTTCCAACTGGCGCGTGCGACGCTCGGCGTTCTGCTGCGCCGCGCCGCGCTCTCGGTCTCGCTCTCGGCGCAGGAGAGGCTTTCCAGCGCGGCGCCGGGCGAAACTCCTGCCTTTCCCGCCCCTCGCAGGCTCAAAGGACACCTGGCCGGCG